TAATCTGTAATGTTATGGATAATGAATAATTGAATACTGCAGAACCGACAGTAACAATGGTTCAAGCGTGTTTGATCACATGAAATTTGTATGATACATGGATAAATGTAGACAATTATAATTGAATTTACATTTTCCCCAAATATAAAATGAAAAACATTTTGGTTGTTACTTAGAAAGTAAAAATACATAATTGGAGATGGGGACATTCATGCACATGGAGGCATGGACACATTTGTAAACTACAATCGTGTGGTACGCCGTATCACATTATTTTTTCATTTCTTATGAAAAACTAAAATTAATTTCCTCCGTAAATAAAAAAAAATCTTCAGTTAATCTTAATTGCGTCTAGTCACTGGTGCGAGAATTTTTATATAGTTTTTTTTTTGTGTGATATATATAAGTCAAAAGGAAAATTAGGATAGAAAAGTACAAGATTCACGATCTACCATACCGGAGTAAAAACTGAAACCAATACAAACAAGATTAATTTCAACAAAACCACAATAAAAACCCAACTAAACATTCTCCTATTGCGAATCAAAAGTACCTCAACAAACTAAATATTAGGATTTTCACTTCGGTAAACATACCAAAAAAGGTGGGAAGTAATAAACCGAAAACCACGCCACAAAAAATTCCAAAGAAAGGCAGACTCTGAAACTGGTCTGAGACATAGAGACAATAAGCAAAACGCAATTTCACCGGATGAACCACGATACAAAGTTTTTTTTTTATGTTTTATAATATTAAATCAAATATACAATTTTAAAATACATTGCTAAAAACTTATAATAAAATTTACTACCTTTTCCCAGCTACCCATGTGGTGGGTTTTATTTATTAATATTATTATTGTTTTAACATAGATTCTCTTCTTCCGTGCGCCGAAATGAAATAATATGAAAAAGACATAAGATTAATATTAAAGAAACTGTATTTTATGTTTATTTACACATATAAAAAGTTTTGGCCCTCAAGTAGTTGTTGTGGCTTATGGCCCTCAAGCACAAGCACAAACTATCTTGTAGCATTTTTAATATCTCTTTTTAATCCAAAAGCAATTTAATCTGTTCGGTTTTGTGCGGTAATTGCGTTAGTGTTTTTTTTTTTTAATAACCAGGGGGTGATCCTGGTTTTATCACCCGACTCATCCCCCAAGATAACCCGCTCACCAGATTTCTTTAATGGATTTAAAACGTGCCACCACTTCGACTGACCAAGTGAGAGAGATTAGAGAATTTCACGTTTGAAGAGAATTGAATTTTGGTTTAGACCCACAAAAACTCTTCCTCAAATAAAAACTACTACTCCGCCACCACTTGGTTAGTTATTGCGTTAGGTCTAATCTCATGCCATAACTATTTCATAATTTCGAATACCAGTAACCCTAAGTTATAAGATGAAGGTAAATGTTCTTTATCCCTGTTAGCTCGATGGCCTCGATTTATCAAAAAAAAAAAAATTATCATATCATATGACCGAAATTTGACTCACAATAACTAAAAAATATATTTCTATCAATAGATCTAATTAATTTTGTATCCAAAATAGAAAACTTGGAGATACTTGCCACCAACAAATATGCATATATATAATGAAATATATGGTGGATTAAATGGTCAAAGGGTTCATTATGCAATGCATTAACAAATAAAGATGTTCATTATGCCACCATTAGTTCATGGTAGTCTCAGTTTGATGATATAGGTGTTGGTTGGGACTTGGGAGTGCTTCCAAATTATTTTTGAAGTTTTCACAGCAATCCTTTTTTTTACCAAAAACACTTCAAATTTTGTAGCAGAGTTTAAAACCAGGAAAGCCTAATTTTCTATGTGATAATGTTTTGTAAGTGTTTATTCGTATACATGTTTTTAATATTTTAAAATGTATGTTTAAAGCTTATACAACAAAAAAATTTGTAAAAAAAATTTTGGAATCAAATTTTCATAATTTATTCGGTCTGATTTAACGTTTGCAGTTTCAAAGAAGTGTTACATAATTGAAGATTTTCGATAGATTTCTCAATTTAAAGTAGCAAGAAAGAAATGTTAGTTATACTCTTTACTAAATGGTATAGTCTATAGTAGAAATTAGAATAAAAATCTAGATGAATTTGAAAATATTGAAAATGTGTAATCCATTAAAAATTAGTTTATGAGTTGACACCTATAGAATGTTAAAGGTTCTGTATAAGATTATATTTACCACCAAAAATTTTTATAAGTATTTTTCCTCTCAGAATTTGTTTGATACTCAATTTTCTAACACTCCTAATAAATCTGAATAAATATAAGACTCATATACCTATTAGATTGCTCTCAACTTAAAAGTTAAATATATTTTCTTTTTTGTCAACAAATATATCTATTTGATTTCTAAAATAATTATTGTCCAAATAAAGTATTTTTTCTAAATCTGTTTATGATTTCATGTACATATGATCGACGATCATTTCATTGATCATGTACTTTTGATATTTAAGTACATATATTAGATAATATTTTGTAGGTCTATATAAGATGTGATTATTAAGAAGTAGATAATCCACTTGATCTACAAAGTCAATCATTAAAATAGGTTTAAGAAACAATATAATATCGTTCATAACTATAATATCAATGTTTAGAGTCGATAGCTCAACTGATAAACTTCTGTTCGTCCAAATTACAAAAAAATAGTAAAACTAGTCGAATTTGCGTGTCTACACTACATACATCTATTATAAACTTTTGGTAACAATATGGAAAAAGCAACAAAAAAAAACAGATAAACATTCAGGAGAACTAATTAACCGAACTTGTGTGTCCATCTATGGTATAAGCCACTAACCTATGCTTATACCACATCTCTATTTGTGATCAATCCATAGAATCTCATCGAGTTATTTGCTTTTAACGTATGAACACTTTGAATATAACAGAACAAGCACATGAATATAAAGAAAGAAATTTGACTCCAAACATGTCCCTAATCAAATTCCAATGTAATGTTTGAACACTTTCCAAAGACTGGTCTTCTTATCCAACACAAGCACATGCTCTTATTTCCCTACCATCTCTTTTTATTTAAAAAGTGACACTTCTTTATTCACATTAACAGAATTTAAATTCTTTATCTCTAATCACTATTTATTTTATTTTTTCCATGATCGATAGATTCATAAGCATAATTATTAAAACCATGGATTTATATATGAACTATATAATCAACCACTAGTTTTTTCACATGTCCAATCCATCACTTGTTGAATCAATGCTTCGTGCACCATCCAATGCATTAAGAAGAAAAAAAACATTACTAAAATCTTTGATGCTCCTCTTAATGATCATATGATTCGTATCTAATCTCTCTTCTAAACATAATGATTAAAATTAGTATTTCATTATGGAAAGGAATAGAGCCAAAATAAAGACCCACGTAGGTAATTTCGTAAATATCTCAAACTCCAGTGGCATTTTATTACTTCATTTACTATATAATCTTCGTCCCTCCCAATCTCTCAAAATCCCTCTGACATTTTCTCTTACTTTCTCACACTTTCTCTCATTTTCTTGCCTAAGAAAACTACAAACAACAGAAAATTACTTAAATGGCTGGAGGAATCGGAAAATGCAGTAAGATCCGTCACATTGTGAGACTCCGGCAGATGCTACGACGGTGGCGCGATCAAGCGCGGTTGTCTTCTTTCAGCCGGTGTGTACCGTCCGATGTACCATCAGGACACGTGGCGGTCTACGTTGGAAGAAGGTGCAGGAGATTTGTGGTGCGCGCGACGTATCTGAACCATCCCGTTTTAAGGGATCTTCTGGTTCAAGCCGAGGAAGAGTTCGGTTTCGTTAACCAAGGTCCGTTGGTTTTCCCTTGTGAAGAATCGGTTTTCGAGGAATCGATTCGGTTTATATCCCGGTCTGATTCGACTCGGTCAAGACGGTTTACTTGTCCTGATGATTTCCAGAAGAATTGCCACGTGGAGATCAGAAACAAGCTTGATCTTTGGATTGAATCTCGACCGTTGCTTCACGGCGAAAAAGCAATATGGTGATTTCTTAGGGATCACAGAGTAAAATAGGTAATAAAAAAAAAAGAGCCCGATCCTGACTCGGAACGAGTTAACTCGCCATGGGAGCAGAAAATGTGCAAAAGCCAGTTTTTGATTAACTCTTCATTGACTCGGACTCGGTGAGTGAGGTGGCGAGTTTACTGAGTGGTGACAGACTCGGTGGCGGATACGGAGGAGACGGCCGTGAAAGGTGGGTGAGTCATTCTACCGAGTCGTCCCGACTCAGAGTCCGAGTTGGAGGAAGTAGAATTATGATCAAGCGAACAAAATGTGATTTAAAATTGGTGTTGGGTGTAAATCTACAATTTCAATTAAAATTGTAGAAATCATTATTGTAAATTCGAGAGCATTGGTAAGTTAACATTATTCTTAAATTTGAAATTAAGATGGAGCTAAAATAATAATAGTAAAATGTTTTTAGCTATCAATCTATCATCAATTTATTTCTTAAACAGAAGGTAAAAGTATTAAAAATTGTTTTGCATGAGATTGTAATTGTTCCTATACGTTTAAATATATAGCTCGTAGTCATATTAAGCCGATTGATAATTTACGTGTTGTTATAATTCAAGGATATCTACTACCCCGTTAAGTGTATTATAAGTCTAAATGACTGTATTTAGTTTGAAATTTGAGACTAATGTAGTTTATTGTTTAAGCGTTTCGATAGTGAATCTCTACAG